AGCTGCAGCTTTGTTTAATGGGCCTGGGTTCTCCCTATGCACAGTCTCTGCTATTTTAAGAGACGGTTTTTCATCTGCAAGCCTGAGATTCTAAGCTCTATTGTGTGCACTTAGTTTATTATGCTGCTGGATAAAGTTTCAAAATAGTGCTTTTACTCTAGAGTGACTTCATTTTTCAAATTAGTTTCTTCCATTTTGGTAATCTGAAAGCGTGGCACAATCACCTGATCTTGGTTTATAATGTCGATTTTAATAGTGTCTAAAGTAATACCAATGCTAGAAACAAATATTTTGACGTTATCTAAAAGGGCTCAGTCATCAGAGAAGAGATCTGGGAAACCAGTAATTGTTGGGGAGGACTTAATTCTCACAGCCATTAAATATGTGAAAATCATGGGCCCTGCTGATTTTTAGGCTACTACTCTTGTGTTTCACGTGGGAAACTAAGGTACCAAATAAACTTGTTGGGAGGAAGACACTTCCAAAATCCATGGAAATTTCAGCTGAAAGCCTATTTTTGTCGAAGTTAAAGGGGTTACTAATTCAGTTCAGAACTTTGTGTGGAATTCAAGGCTTCACTTATTTTTTTTAAACATAGCCAAAAAAATGTCTGCTTGTGAGAAGGGCAATTTGCTCATTTTTCACAGACAGGTTTTATCTTATTCATACAAAAGAACATTCCACAACTACATACGCCAGTTTTACTCCCTCAAAGCATTTTTACCCTAATTGCTTCAATTTATTATCACCCCACCAATAAACAGGGTGATGTATCCTTTTAAAAACTATTATTATTTTTTAAATTATCAAACATACAGCTCTTGAATAACAGATCCAGGATGAAAACCTGGGTCATACAGGTCAATGAACATCCCACTCCATCAATGCACGAAATTTACAGTGGCTCATGATAAGTGTCACTTGTGTCAACTGATGGCGACTCCATTGACATAAATCCCCTTTAATGATCAAATCTACCTTAATGAAAATGCTCATTCACAGCTTTCTCCCTCCAATGATTTAATTAATCTGTGGTACAGTTGGCCAGTGGGAAAACAGGTTGTTCAAAAGCCCCCAGGTGATTCTACTGTACAGTTGACGTTGAGAAACACTGCTACACGTGGACATATATTTTAAAGGGTATATTCTCATTAGATTTTTTTTTTTTTTACAGTGGAGTAGTAAGGCACACATGCTTTAAATGAGATCCCCATACCTAAAATACCCAAATTACTTGTGTCCCCTTTCTTACCCCGCTCAAAAATGAAGATTTCAATGAAATGATTATGGGGCTACTTGTGTGCTGAGGTATCCAGCTGCAGTTTAGCCCTTCCCTAATGCCTATAAAAATGAATAATGCATGCTCTAAAATATTGGTAATAAAAGAAAAAAACATAGAACACAAACTCAATGGCCTGAATCAATGGATTATTCTGCAAAGTGCTATATTGAGAAACTGAAAGAAAGTACTTTTCAAAGCATAAATATTTTAATCACTCTCCAATTCTACTTCTCTTATATAAATAAAAAACATTCCATCTGCTGCTTCCCAAGCCCGGAAGAGCAGACGACAGCTGCTTTTCCAAACACGCTCTTCCAGCAGTGGCATTAACTACCTACCAAGCACCAGATATCTATAAACTGGTGTCCCGAGCAAGGCGGGCTGCAGAAGCTATTCCTGCCTCTAATAGAATCCAGAGTAGCTTGTTGGGCAAATCAATATTTCAAATTGAGGGACACTGCTCCTCCAGTGAGGAGCTAAAGACAGCAGACAGCTAAGCCCTGCTTACAGAGCCCTGGGTCTCAGGGTTGACAAGTAAATCCACCTTCCATGCTCTGTTTACAGTGGCAAAAGCCTGAGATGAATGTCCATGAAAGTTGAAAAGAAATTATGTTTCATATTGAGCTTTTTAAAGATATTTCTGAATTTGAATTTGGACAGTCAGGGGATAAGAGAAAAACATTAAATCTACCAGTAACTTCACAACCCACATTTGTTCCTAAATTCAATCTCCTCTGCTACCGAGTTAATAACAAGAAGAAAAGTGAACTGATTTAACTTTCAGCTTTTCTCTCTTCTCCAATTTATTATTAGGTAAAGCAGAACAGTGGCTGATAGACGGGCAGCAGGAAAAAATTAGAAAGGGGGTTTTCAAAATGAACTAGAGGCTCACACAGGGGCCTTCTTTTATAAAAAGGCTAGTGGAGGCAGAACAGGAGCATAAAAGAAAAGGGACATAATTATATCTGTATCTGAGCTGCCACCAGCAAAACCCTGTAACAGGTATTATGTCTACCAGCAAAAAGAAAAACAAACGAAAGGCTCATCTGTCCATGTTTCACTAATTTAAACTGATCTACACATCTAAAAATGTAATATAACTGTAAATCAAATACACACTGGAATAGGCAGAATAACAGCTTCCCCACGGTGCCTACGTCTCCAATTCTCAGAACGTGCAAATACGCTGCCTTCCACAGCACAGGGGAATTGAGGTTGCAGGTAGAATTAAGGTTATTATAAGCCAACTTTAAGACAGGAAGATGATGCCGGATTATCCAGGTGGCCCAATGTAATCACAAGGTCCTTAAAGTGGAAAACCAAGGCAGAAGGGGGATCAGGGTAATGGGGTGACATGTGAGAAGGACTCAAGCTGTCCCTGCTGGCTTTGAAGATGGACAACAAGGACATAAGCCAAGGAATGCAGGTGGCCACCAGAGAGTGAAAAAAGGCCAGGAAGCGAATTCTCTCCTAGAGCCTCTGGTAAGAAACACAGCTCAGCTGCCGCCTTGGTTTTAGCCCAGTGAAATCCATTGTTGGCAACTATGAAACTGTAAGATAAATTTGCATTGTCTAAGCTACTAAATTTGTGATAATTTGTTAGATCAGCAATAGAAAATCGATACACACATGATAAAAATGTAAATACCTGATAAATTTTTTGGTTACGTGAGGCATGCATAGTACCGAAAAACAAAAAAGCAAACACAACAAAAGTATTTAATGTAGAAAATTAAAATTCCTAGTACTTTTCATCCCTGATTTTCCTCTGATATCTGCTCTTGCCTGATGGCTATCTGTATGTTGAAACAGGACCCTCTGCCTCCCGGGCCCGGAGCTGCCTGTCCTCAGCCATAAGCTGCCATCCTTACTTGGCAGTAGAGACCCAGCATTAGACTATGATCTGTAAACAACACAGAAAGACGGCACTAGGGCTACAGTAAGAAACTGCACCCAAAACCTGGTTCTTAGGTCTTGCTGAAGAGCTTTTGCAGCCATCTAGGCTAATTATGATAAAAGTTTCAGGGTGATACTCTGGGGAGCTTTCTGTCACCTGGCAGGCCCTCACCCTGAACAGGCAGGATGTCTGCCACCAATCTGAGCACATGGCCATGATAAGCCACAGGGACCCTAGAACTATGGTCACCGCCCCCCACCAGCTGTGCCCACCTCCTCCATCCTGAGGCCTCTGGCTTCCTTTGCTAACAAGGAACTCTTGGTGCTTCATGTTACAAACCATAACTTCTATAGGATTTAAGTGTCTGAATGTTCATCCCCAGAGTCAGCCCTCTGCAGAACTTTCATAATATTTTCTACACAGCTTATCTGTGCCTAGATCAACAATAATACTATCTGCAACACTCTCAATTGCAGATTTTATTCTGTAAAAATGTGGAATTTATAATTCAGGAAAAGCAGGATAAATGAAATCTCTCAGAAAGCAGACATCTGACGCCCAAATCCATAATAGCTGATGAGGTCTCCTTCTCCTGGAGGAACAGGTGTCCGCAGCTCACAAAGCTGAGGACTAAATGACTTTCACAAAGCAGCACATGAAAGAGCTGAAATGATCCAGGGCAAAGTGGCCTTAGCCCCTTAGGTTAGGACCTGACTGAAGCTTGAGTCCTTTTTCTGATTCTCTTTCTTTTCAATTGGCGTTGGTTCAAGATGCCACAAACCAGAAGTACAGTGGGAAACAAGGATGAGATGTATATTCAAGGTGACAGGGAGGCAATGACCAACAAGCATACCAAGTACAGGTGAAATTCAGATATTGTTACGCACTAAGCACATGCCCATGGAAGCCCCAGAGCATGACTGAGGGCCGGACCCTTTGACTCTTATAGTCATAGCCCTTAGTGCTGAGTGAGTAGGCATGGGTGATGGGCCCAACCACCTTCAGAGCCGTACATAGCTGCAAATTAAAAGTACCTAAACACTGCAATATGCTATTGTTATTAATGCTAATCAGGCTTTTATCTCAGGACAAAGATTTTGCTTCTCTAGGAAAGCATGGATAGTGCTTCTGCTCTCTTTAATTTGGCCAGTGCCCTTCCCTCTACTCCTTACTCACACACAAATGAAAATGTGAAAGTCCCACTCTTGTGAGACATTATGATACAGAAAGAAAAGGACATCTCAGTTCAAAGGATCAAATCCTTACTGTAAACCAAGAAATGCTGCATATAACTTTAATTACTCAGTTCTTTGAAAGAGATCTTCCATTTTCGTAAAAATTCTTTTTGACACAGCACAGGGTAGATTATCACAGCACATCCATAATCCACAAATAAACCACCTAGGCAGAGCAATCTCCCTGATCTCATTTGCTCTGTACAAGTCTCCTGGATAGGTGGAGAGAAGGCCCCTTCCCTGGTAGATCCTGCAATATTGACAAGGCATCTCAAACTAATGCTATGAAAGGAAACATTCACCTTGATAGTGTTTCTCCAGAAAGAGTCTCTGCTGGTGGCTCTGACTTACACAAAAGGAGCAAAGCTGCTCCAAGCTTACCCCCCGAGAGATGAGGTCATCCCCAGCACACAGATTCATGTCTACATAGGCATGTTTTTCTTTCTTCATTTTTGAAGCAAATGTAATTGCAGTCTTCCTCATTTCCCCACCTTGCTAACTGCCTTCTGCACACAGCAGAGGGACCATGCAACAGGCCCCTTTGACGTCATGGGAATCCCCTGCCTATACCCGAGATCAACGTTACCTTGTTGAAGTCTTCAGAAGTTGCCCTCATTTCCTTCCATGTCTTGTTCAGGAGCTGGATACAGATGCAGAAAAACTCCTCAAAAGATCTGTCGTGGGTGAAGAACATTGGGTGGAAGTCATTGCAGGTCTCACTAGCTGGAGGAAAGAGATGGAAAATAAGGGAAGAAGTTTTAAAACAGTGAAATGCGAGGACATAACCACAGGTAAGTGCCCCAAGGAGAAACAAGCGGAAGTATCTTTGGTTCAGGCAATAATAATGAAAAAGCTTTTTTGAAAAAGAAACCAAAGGATGGCCGTGGCCCTCATACAACTTAGAAGCTTAAGGTCAGATAGTCAGACCTAGCCTTAGGCACATTTTTTGACTGACAAAAGTCAGTCCCTAACTCATGCCAGGATACGACACCCCCGGCTTTGTTCCAAAACAGCTGTGTTGATTATGAGCCTATATCTGCCTTCTTGACCTTATACAGATTATTCAAACTGCCCTCTCAGGCACAGCTCCTCCGTCACCTTCAATTTCCTCTTTCTTATCAGAATAACTGGCAGAAGACGGGTTTTCCTGAATACACGATTAATTGCAACTTTGAAAATAACATCCATGATTATTTCTCCAGGGGGCTCTTCTCTCTTATGGCAGTAAGCAGGAGACATGTGAGATCATTAACCATCTGATGCCATTAACCATTTGTTTTACATTTCCAGGCACAGATGGCTGGAGGTCAAAGCAACCCAAATGACTCTGAAGGCTGCAACTGGTCCAGTCCTGGGTAAAACCATAAAGTCAGCCAAAATTGCCTTCAAGCCCCCACTGTAGAGCTTCCTTGGGTCAGACCTAGTGCTCTGAGATTTAGGTCTAGCCCCTACTCTCCTCCTCCTCCTCAGACCAGCAACCCAACCCCTCCCTTTATCCCATCTGTCAAGCTTACATTTTTATAGCCCTTTTGTACATTATGCCTCATTTGAACTTTAAAGTTCCTCTTACTACTCATGTCTTACAGGTGAGGATATGGTGGAGCCCAAGGAACTAAGGTTTTTGACCCCCAAAACCAATACCCTAAGGTTTTTAAAAAACAAAATCTAAGTTGTTACATACAGTGAAAGTCTTTCTATTTTATTTGGAATCTCTCTCTCTTTTTTTTTTTTTTTAAATTTTACTTTAAGTTCTGGGATACAAGTGCAGAATGTGAACGTTTGTTACATAGGTATACATGTGCCACGGTGGTTTGCATGAGGACTGGATGGCTTTAACACAGTGGCACATCAACACATCATCTAGGTTTTAAGCCCCACATGCATTAGCTATTTGTCCTAATGCTCTCCCTCCCTTTGACACTCCCCCACAACCCAACTGTCCCTGGTGTATGTTGTTCCCCTCCTTGCGTCCATGTGTTCTCATTGTTCAGCTTCCACTTATGAGTGAGAACATGCATTCCTTTGCTATTGGAATCCCTTCTAAGGTCAATTCATCCTCAAGGCTCAGAATGGTGGGGTTTCAGGCCCTGGAAGTCCAGGAGAGGATGGAGGGAAGGGTGGGAGCAGGCTTACAGGGGGGACCTTCTGTTCTCAGGAAGAACCCTGGTGCCTGCCATGTGGATGAGCAGCGAATCCACTTAGAATCCTATAGAGCAGGCCTCCAGTGAACAAACTCTCATCAAGCCTCAAGGAAACACACTCAAGGTTACATGGCCACCAAGTTATTACACACCAACCTCTTATCTCTTCAACTTTCATAAATACAGTGAATTTCAGACTTCTGAACAGTTTAAAACAACAGCAAAATGGTGTATATTTGCACAGCTCGCCACTTCTAAAGGGCACAACCCTATTTGAAGATATGGTAATGCTCTTTCCTTCTGCATAAAGTAAAGGCATGGGCCAGGAGCAATGCACAGTCCTGTAGGAAGAGTCTGGGAGTCAGGGGACAGAAGATTTGGGTTCAAGTGCAGCCCGGGCCAATCAGGAGCAAGTCAGTTCACCTTTCTGAGCCTGAATTTTCTTAACTAAAAAATAGAGGGCTGGGCACAGTGGCTCACACCTGTAATCCCAGTACTTTAGGAGGCCAAAGTAGGTGGATCACCTGAGGTCAGGAGTTTGAGAGACCAGCCTGGTCAACATGCTGAAATCCTGTCTCTACTAAAAATACAAAAATTAACCAAGTGTGGTGGCACGCATTTCTAGTCCCAGCTACTCGGGAGGTTGAGACAGGAGAATCACTTGAACCCGGAAGGTGGAGATTGCAGTGAGCTGAGACCATACCACTGCACTCCAGCCTGGGTGACAAGAGTGAATCTCCATCTAAAAAAAAAAAAAAAAAAAAAAGGGAAATTAAATCGCCTCTGCCTTCTCCCTAGGCTTCAGAGCAGAACAAATGAGCCAATTGAGGGGAAAGTGCTTTGGACAGGATAAAAGTTAACGCCAGTATGGAGGGAAGTGGTGGTGATGACGATAAATATTGCAGTTGCCGACTATTTCCAGGAACTTGAGTTTTTCTGTGATTTCTGCCCCCCCAATTCCTAGTCCAGCCTATTTGCATTTCAGCAGTTAGAAGCAAGAACATATAAGTCATCCCACACCAGCCTGTGTTATTAGCAGAGAGATGGCAAATGTGAAGTTCTGACTTTCAATACAAAGCTATTTAGGAAACTCAGAAGACCAACACTGGCAGACTGTGTAGTTTGCTGCCCTGGGCAATGAGCGGTCAGTCTCACTTTCATGAGCATCGAAGCCAGTGAAATTTACAAGTCTTCAGCTGTACCTTAAAACACTATTGCCATCCAGGAACTCATTATTAATCACAATATCACAGTATCACTTTTGGATCTAGTGTGATTAGGTGTATACTTTATGCCCTAAAGTTTTTATGTGATGAGTAGAGCTAAGATAGCCAGACAAAACTGAGACTTGCAAGCCCTGCTCTTGTTTGGGTGAAGAGGAAGGGAAGTGACATCATTAACAATTAACTAATAATTAACTTTTTGGGTGCATATGACATGCCAAGGGCTCTACAGGCACTATTCTTGCAACGGAAGGTAGGCCTCATGGACATCCTCATTTTATATATGAGAAAGGTAAAACTTAGATAAATAACACCTTTCATCATGAGGTTTTTTTAGTTGGCCACAAATGAGCACCTAAAACCCACAGTTTAGCTGACTCAGCAATAGGTTTCCTGCCTTAGTTGACATCAAGAGCTCACTGCATTTCTTTGTGGTTGCTACTTTGAAAATTAATTCCTCCATCCACTCTCTTAGGTCTCCCGTACTGCTCCTTCAATATAAATCCAGATCATGACCTGCAGTCCAATGTGGATCACAGCAAGTGCATAGCCAACGCCTGCTGATGGAGGAGACCTGGCCATGAGATAGCAGTACCAAGGCCAGCAATACCACCGCCTGCAGTCACGCACCAGGCCCTGGATGACGGGCTTTAACATCACTTATTATGCCAAGCACAAAAGGAAGATATTACTAACTTCTTTTTAAGACTATAAATAGGAGATTTAGAAAGGCTAGGTGACTTGTCCAAGGTCACATGATTTGCAAGTCGTGGTACTAGGACTGAAGGTCGAGTTGGCTCCAAAGCCCATCATTGTTCTGCTGCATTCTCTTTCCTCACTCTGTTTCCCAATTAACCCTGCCTCCAATGCACCTCCGCCAACACAAATCTGAAACAATTGTTTCTCTATCCACAGAAAGTATTTACAAAGTAAAATTTACAAGAGGTACAGCTTTACCTATTAATGCTTATGTATATTTACTGCTTAAGATTCCTCTGCCTTCCTCCTACTACTTGTGACTCACGTGGAGATAGGTTGGAATCATCAGAGTTATGCTCCCCTTCTGGACCTTACTAGCTACTATTTTTAATCAAGCATATGGCATAGCCTTAGTAAATGGAGGCCAGTAGTTACTTTTTTTTTTTTTTTTTTGAGATGAAGTCTTGCTCTATTGCCCAGGCTGGGGTGCAGAGGTGCAATATCAGCTCACTGCAGCCTCCGCCTCCTGGGTTCAAGTGATTCTCCTACCTCAGCCTCCCAAGTAGCTGGGACTACAGGTGTACACCACCATGTCCGGCTAATTTTTGTGTTTTTAGTAGAGACAGGATTTCACCATGTTGGCCAGGCTGGCCTCTAACTCTTGACCTTGAAAAGTGCTAGGATTATAGTCGTGAGCCACCATGCACAGCTAGTTACTATTTTTGATCGAGTACATGGGATAGGCTTAGTAAATGGTGGCTATTAGTTACTATTTTTAATCATCATTCTCAACACACTATATGGCTTCTTAAAGACTCCCACAATTCTATGAGATGAGCAAGGAAAGAGGAATCTGGTAAATGACCTTTAGGGGCCCATAGATAAGGAGGGGTAGAGTCAACCAATCATTCCTGATGATTATGTCAAAAACCTACTGAAGTATTCAGGCTCCAAAGCTGAAATTTCACATGAGGAGATAGCTGTGTGCAGGGTACTCTAAGAGCTTTTCCTGTCTGAACTCTCTGAATGTGTAGTAACAACAAAGGTACTATTATTACCACCCCTGTTTCACAGACGAGAAAACTGAGGAAGTGTGAAGGTAAATAACTAACAGTGACAGTGTCAGAAATCAAACCCAGCATTTTATCTCTAGCACTGGTGTTTCTGACCTCCACGTGAAGGAGTTGGCCTGCCATCATTTTAAGATTCTTGAAGATTCCTCCTTTGCAAGGAGATATGGGCAAATAACAAAAGTAAGAACAACTTGGTCCTTGTCAGATAACACAAGAAACAGCTTTGTGTATTTGTATACACACTTCATCAGCTTGCTGTGAGGATCAAATGGGAACAGTGACTAAGACAGCAAGCTCAACGCAAGTGTGGGCCAACAGAGTGGCCATGTTCACCATTCATCAAGTGGAGCCTCTCCCAGGCTACACATTTATACATGTGAGCTTGTCACCCTGCAGAGATAGCCTAATTCTAAAAATATGTTTCTTAGGTTTAATTAAACAAATAAAACCAGGAAGGGTGAGGTTTATTATTGTTTTAAAAGGAAAACAACACTTATTGAGAAAAAAAGAATTGAATTAGCAGACAATATATTATAAATGAAATCTAGAGAGATACTTTCAATGAGACAAAAATAGTAAGACATTTT